TTAGCCTGTTAGCTAATTCAGACATAATCCTTTAGTCTCGAGGCTCGGGGGAACGTCGACTCTGCCAATTGTGTGTCAGCATTCGAACAAGTCATGATGTGTTAAAACTCTGATTATAAATGATCATTATAACTTTCACTTTCCCAGTGTCAACATTCATCGACATGGAAAATCCATCTTTGAGCCACATAAGAAATATCCCCAAACACCAAATGATGATTTCATAAACACCACGTCTGGTTTTCAAGATCAGACCAATGTTTAAAAGTTGTTAATCCAGCGTGAGAAGAACAGACACACTCATATATCCACATTTGGATTTGTACGGGGGATAGAATAAGATCATTACACATTCCTGACACAGGTGAAAAGTATGGAAAGACTCAGAGTGCTGAGGTAGACGGGGTTTATACACGCTCATACATAAATGAATCACCTTTATTACTTCTGACTTCCAGAGAGAGAAACAAAAAAAAAGTCTGTTTCATCCACCTTCTGTAAAGAGTCCAGGCTTTTTTTTCCCGATGTTATTTTAACGGCTGCTGTTGGAGTTTTGGCTCAATAAGGAGCGAGGGAGAGAAATTAAGAGAGAGACACTGAGAGAGGTGGAGCTGAGAGAGAGACAAGGGGGAGGTAAACAGCCTCCCACACGTCTGAGATGGAGACAGAGACGAAGTAAAATGAATGGAAATGATTGAAATGATCATCTCAACCATTTATCAGAAGTAGTGTCTTATTGTGTTTATCGGAGTTCAGGGTTTAAGTGCAGGAAATGATTTTTCTGAAAGGTGTATTTGTCAAAACAGAAGGTCAGTTTGTACAGTGAAGGATGGTAAAAACTTTTTGGGATTGCGACTGGTGAGTGGAGCTTCTAATTCTCCATTTTCCTGATCTGTACAGAGGAACATAAACTACACAGACAAATATATCACGGGGTCACATGTGAGGTCGCCGCGGTGACAAATTAGTTAGAAAACTTTGAATTATCATGTTCGCTCTTCTTTTTGCAAAAGGAGACATTTTCATTTTGTCAGAGGCTCCTTCAAGTTAACACGTTTCCATCTTTAACTAAAGGAATTAAAACAACAACTATTTAACGCGTTAGCTAAAAAAGAAATAATGTGAAATGAACAACAACAATAAAACTAGTGAATTTTCTTCGCTCATTCACGGATGGGTGAGCGCTCCTTTAACGCTTTGTTTTCGGTTCTAGAGATAATTACTGTGATTCCAGCGCAGCAGCTTCTCTGACTATACACACAGCATGAGAGAGAGAGAGAGAGAGAGAGAGGTTTAGAGCGAGAGCACAACAAAAAGAGAAATGCATTTTCTATCCAGCATCGATTTACCTGCTCGAACTGTCTTTCGCTGCAGAGCCAGATGCTCCTGTTCCACATAATTAAAGGGACGGTTTGTTAATCACTGTGTTCCAAGTTGTTATTTGTTGTTTCTGGTGCAAAGTAAATTAATTCCGGGACGAGGGAGGTGACGTCATGAAGACAAAGGACAGTTGTGGTCAGAAAACAATCATGAGACAAGGGACTGTGTTGTGAGGAAGAGATGCAGCATGTTTGGGAAAAGTTTATTCCAACGACTGGAATAGTTGAACTAATGACATAAAATAATTATCTTTGCTTAAAATACAAACTTAACACATGACTTGATGAAGAAAACAAAATGTGTATGGCTTTCTATTGGCGCACATATTATATATGATGTGTGAATGCACTTTATTGTGCTTTATGTTTTTTTATTTTTTTTATTTTATCCCTATCGAATAACAAAAATAGAATAAAAATCTGAACGCTATTATTATCTTTGACTTTGTCCTCTTATCTTTTAGCAATAGAAGAATTCAACAAATTTAGACTCTCAGGCAGACTTGGTTATTAATAGTCAGATACACAGGGTGTGATTGGTCGGTTAGTGAGGATATGTCAGCCAGCGGGGTCGTTTTTAACCCCCGAGCTCTGACCTCTGCATGACACACACACACACACACACACACACA